AATTTTACAATTTCCATTTTCAACTTTAGGATTAGGGATTTTGACAATACAAGAATAGGGTAAAGCAAGCATTCCCTAAATGAAAATTTTATAAGTAGGTTATTTTCCTAAATTTGCCTATAAAAAACATTTGCTTATATACTGATTAACAGCAATATGGTACTTTATCTAGATTCGATAATAATAGTGACGTTTTAGCTTTATATTCAATGCTGGATATCTTACTGTAAAAAATTAAACCTTGCTTATAATTTTACTAACTAATGAATGATGAAATTTTGTCTATCTAGCCAATTAATGTTTTCAATAATTTTCTTAAAATCTATGCTCAGATTCTGTGAATAAAGAAAAACTAAGCCCTCTCTCTGGAGACCTAACTCAGATGCTTCCATCCCAAATTACTAGTGTGGCTGGCCCGTTGATGACCTTGCCAGCCTGGCATCCACAGAGCCTTTTCCAACATACGACCTCTTCCTCCAGTCCTGTATGTACTAAGGATCAGCAGCTAATGACCGAATTTGCAGCTGGAGGAACGTCTGTTAATTACCTGGACCTAGCTGCGGAGGAAAAAGCTGATAATAAAACATCCACAGAGATGGTACATGGCCGTTTAATCTCCTCGACTGGTCAGCAACTTGGAAAGATTATGCTAGAAGGGGTTAGTCTTTTGTAAAATGCATTTCAAATTAATGTTTGCTAGCAAATTTTCACATGCTAATATTAATTAAAGAACGAAAACATTGGGCAAATATATTGATCCTAATTAAAGGAAGATTGCTCTTATTAATTATACTTTATGTAAGTGAAGCCCTATATCCCTATGACTAGTATCCAACTTCTTTCAACAGAGCCGGATTGAGGTCCAAAGATGGGAGATTTAATACAAGGAATTAGAATATGGTTCATATTTTAATTATGTCTTTTTGGCAAAATCTCATTACCCTAATAAGATCTTTATAAGTTATAATAAAAGTTAATAATTTCCTCCCCTAATATAGAGCATGCTAACATCGTATGCTTATAATTATCTGGCAAACTGTTTCAAGTATCATCTCTTCACCTCAGAAAGATCTTAAATTTAAATTATTGCCTATTCTATTTATTTTTACTATGTAGTCTCTATACAGAGAAAATATTCCTAAATAAACTTGTTATCCTTATAGAATTCATTGTATTTATTCTTCATCAGAAAAGAAATTGCCATAAATATTTGGCTAAATCGTCTAAGGGGCATTATGTAGAATGGTATTAATGGAATTAATCTGTTTTAATGCCTGTTTACATTAAAATAATTTACAGTTCAGATTAATTTTATGATAAGAGGGAAAAATTTAGTGATTCCCGTAGTTGTAGTAACCAAGCAAGTGTCACTAGCTTCAAGATTGGCATGAATTATGTGACTTATATTACTTACAACTCTAAATGCAGTTGAATGGTCACATATGGAATCGATGGTCCGACTTAGCCTACGATTATACAAGGTACTTCATAATCATACTTATTAATCCTGCAGGAAATCGCCCACCTAGCAAACTTCTTTTACTCTTTCTTAAAGCCTTATCGCCTTATCACCCACTTTAGAATGAAATTTAATTGACCCTAAATTTAGTATCCTACGAAACTGTGCTAGCACATCGGCTAGACTTAACTGATAATAGTGCATAAATTAAACACCAAAAGCGTTTTCATAATTTCCCTGAAGACGACTATCTATTTTACTAATGGTTTATACCAGAAATTTAAATCCTTATGATGCTTGGCCTGAGGAATTCTAGTTGCTTATCATATATCATGTCAAAGATATAATGTCTCTCCGTTTTAGGAGCAAAGGAGTTCCTTTGCCTACAAGAATTTGATAAAGATTTTTTCAATATTTAATCTTACCTTTTTCTCGTTCAGATGGGAATACCATTTAAAATATTCACCCTGGATATCATTCCTACCAGGGAAAAATAAATGATTCTTCATATGTCCTTCGTATTTCCCCTATATGTACAATTTTTCTTAAAAAAAGCCTTACGTTCAGAGTCAATAATAAAGTATTTTTCATGAATATCTATTAAGCACAAAAATATATACTGCATTAGAAAATGTACATGGCTCTCAAGCCTTACTCCTTGATCTATTTAAGGAATAAGTATTTTCTATTTATACTAAGGCTGAAATAAGTTAATGCGGATCCAAAGGGTAGAAAAATTGACATGATATGAGAATAAAGAGAGTAACGTTTTTTTAAGACATTTACTGGGATGCCATTTAGTTTCAAGCATTTAGGCGAAATTGCTGCGCTTAGCTAAGTTCTTAATGTTAAAATATAGCAGAAAGCACTGATATAATAGTAAGAATAATACCAAAAGTGAAGAAAAGGAAACTTCATATTTGTCCATATAAACCGTTAGGTAACATGGTGCGCATGTCCATATTTCAAGTCCATTTGCAGGAAGCAAATATATTTTTCCAGCAGAGTTTGTAAGTTTTCTAGCCTAAGTTAAGTTTTCCAACAAATTTAGCTTCTGTTAACTGATGAAGAAGGGCTGTAAAAAATATCTTGAACTTCTCATCACCACTGACCACTTAGAAGAGCTATATAATTAGCTTCATTTGGCGTTACTACAGTAATGAGGATTTAGTAGAGCAATTAACACTAATTGTTTTTATAATTCCACTTTCTAATTCTTAAAATAAAATATATCCTACTAAGATATTGCTAATTGCAAAGCATGGAAAACAATATTTTAATTTAATTTATCTACTTCACTCTAATTCGCTACTATTTCAGCTAATGCGGAAACACGGTGACACATTATTAAGGCTGATACATCAGGTAGCACAGCTGCAGTTTTCATTGTGTCTTATTCGTTTTGTGCATCACTCATCGCATAAAGTAAAATTAAAAGTAT